AATGTGATCCATGTCGTGTGCGTCAACGCCTGGGGTACCGATCTACACAACTTGATACCTCGACTCCAATCCATGAAAAAACTTGTGTGTGGAGCACTAAGACTGCTCCACGACTCACGAGTGGTTTGATGTGGTTCCTCCTCCTCACGGTTCCGTAGCATGTCCGAATCCAGTGTAACTAGGCGTTCAGACCTATCTTCATCTCCGAGGAGAAGCAAATTTTTTAAACTTGCTGAAGCGACGATAGTTAGTCATTCTACTATGAACGTTCGCGCTTTAGACTACTAGCATTTGCAGGCAAGCTACATTAAAGGTTAGGTCAGACAGGTGCAGGAACACACCTGTCACCATCACATGGCAAAAGTGAGTTCAGATGGCACAAATTGCTAAGGTATATCAGAAGACTCTTTAGTAAGTACTCAGTGCATTTTTGTAGCCTCTGTTCTCCTCTTTCGAAAGACTAATCCCCCAATCACCACGCAATTAGGACGAAAAACGAGATCAATTTTGACATAGTCCCAAATATATCGATATTTTCTTTCCTTCCTTTAATATGTAAACCGCACCGCAGATCATGAAGTTTGTTTAGCATTTTAACAGGAAGAAACAATCCATCTCATCAATGTTCAGCCTCAGCACTTTGTTGCAGGGGATGAAAATTAAATACTGTTTCACAATGGCGCGCAAATGACTTCTTTGAGTATTAAATATGTTGCAAAAGTATAGTGCTTTCAGAAGAAATTTGAAGCGCTTCACATTTTGTCGACGATTCTCCCTTGCTAGCTCAGCAGGATTTCCTCGTAAATACAAACTAATCCGAAGAAGCTCCAATATCCACTCAAGAGCAGCGTCGGCTCTGCTGCGTGGTTCACCAGTTTCTGGGAAGCTCCAGACAATGACACTCAAACGCATCAGTCGCGGTCAGGATGTACAAAGCGAATTTTATAAAGCCGAAGTCCACCTTTTGCAAACTCTTTTGTTAGGCGGTTTCTGGCTTCCTACAAAATCCTCCTCATGTCCGACACTTCACGAGTTCTCTGCGCCACTGACCTACAGTAACGTGATGCTGGTTGTTGTCGATGATGATGTAATCTCTTTGGACATCAACGCTGCAAGGATTCAAACAAATTTGCAAAGAGCTGCATTTCGTTATTTTTAAATGGATGTTTACAATGTGTTCTGTGTTAGTTGCGTTTGCCAGTGATGGAGCAAAGCTCTTCAATCTCTTGAGACTTCTTCGTCTTACAGTTATCGTTCTATTATTGAATGAGAGTCGCCTTCAAGCGAACTTGGTCTTCATTGTTTGTAACATTGCCATTTGTCGGGGCTGGCGTGAGCGGCGCACTACGAGCCCGCGCTGGCTGCCTTGGTCTACCAGGAGCGATCGAATAGAGAACGATTTAGAGAGAAATCATCCTCTGGATCAAGCGCCGCAGATGGGACGCTGATTCCAACAGGTTGCAATGATATAAACTGTAAGTAATAGTTTTTCCCCGTGATTCCATCCATTGAACCAGCATTGAGTAGTTTCCTCCCCAATGAATGCTCGAAATGCCCTGATTCGCGCTTGCCAACAGCAGAAAAGTTCCTTGAACACTGAAAAGGTGTCATTCCTATGATGACCACCAAATTAGTTTTCCGCCTGCCTGACTATCCCAAAAATGAAAGCCCGGATTCACTAATAGTTGCACCTTCAATAACGCACCCGTGAAAACGGCATTTCATGGAGAGACAGGCTATCAAGCTGATGGACCGATAGACCGTTAAAGTGATTCTCAAGCAAGGCTTGTGGTGGAAAGAATTCATGCTAAGTCAAGGGGAGACCAAAATTCATATTATCCCACTCCGAGCTCCAACAAATTTCTATATAAGAACTAAGTTCTTCCGAGCTGAGAACCATCAGAAAGTATAACAGCAGGAAACGAACGTCCAAATTTCCCCCATCCCCCCCCCCTCAAAAAAAGCACTAAGCGTTTTAGAACTACATATATCCTCCGGGACTCATCAGTGTTCAGAAACAGACATTCCCCCCAGGAGGCTCTGTGGATACCACCGGTCTCCTGCAACGCAATCGAAATGGTTACCAAGGTGTTCGACAGCACAAAGAATCGCAAATCCTCATGGCAAGTTGGAATGCAGGCGAAGGTGGGGGAAATGAAGGATTTGCGATACAGTGGAAATCCGATGCTTGTTTGTATACGCCTGCGCCTGTTTTTTCGATTTAGCCTTCATCCAAGGATTCTACAAATACAACTGCACAATTCGTTTGAAAAAGGAGATTTTACGGTATGTCCTAACTGTTGAGCGATTTGCTTGCCACCGCACACCATAAAGTTTCCAACCAGTACGGCTTTGGAGAGTTTGTGGAACAAAACAACCTTCGCCGCTCCTTCAATCATAGGAAAAATCATCAGAAGTGAAAACCACTTTATATAGCCTTTCTCAGTTTCGTGAAAGCTTATGAGCCCTCTACACAGAGCACCCGAAGCACTCATCAACGGGAGCCTATCGCAGTATAGGGACGCCGGTTCAGGTGTCGAGGATTATCCAAGAGTTAGAGGTAATACATAAAAGTCATGTTAAGCAGCTTTCGTCATTGTGATGACCACGCTCACACGATACCTGCTGCTTTGTAGTGGTGAAACTTTGTGCTGCTGAAAATGAGGGCAGAATCATGAAGAGAAAAAGAGGCGACCTGACTCATCAACTTGTTACCTAGTCATTTCCCTATCAAACGTATTGCTGCAAAAAAAGAGTAACACATTCGAATAAATTTATAAACAAATTTCTTCAACCATGATAATATACATGGAACAAAAGCAAAGATACACCATAAGGTATGCTACACAGAGACACTCCGTGCAGAGTCTATGTATACATACAACCCTCCATGAGGAAAAAATATACTGGCTCACAGTAATTCGATACCTCCTATTGTACAGGAGTAAGCTGGGCTGTATTCTAGGAAAGTAGATTCTGAAGAGGAAAGAAGGAATGATGAAGCAATTCGCATTGAAGAGACATCAATAAGCACATTCAAACAAGGGTATGTAGTGACACAGATGTAGTGGTGAATTCAATGATTGTGTCTGCTAATAAAAAATAAGCTTCGTGAGCATCGCATGCGAATAATGCAATCAGAATAATAGCAAATATTTCACGGCTTTCGGCAGATGTTCAGCTTTCTGGTCAGCAAAAAAATGAGCAACTTAAACTCATAAACCCAAGCGCATCACAGCCTTTGAGAGCTTGTAATACATTTTCGCTTACTAACGGTCCAATCTAGCATGCGTAGCTTAACAAAAGAGTCACATATCTTTGATTGTGAAGGGTATTTCAAAAAAAGTCACACAGTGCCGAAGCAGAAATTGGGCTGACGCAACCCTGAAGGCCATAGTTTCCCGACGTCGAGAGACTTAAACACATATTCGATTGCAAACACGAGCTCATTTTCCCCACATGCAAAAAACATCTATTAGTGGGTATTCAACTTTTGGGTATTCGTATTCAGACATGTCATGCGCATTTCCACCTTGGAATACTTCACCGGAAGCCGCTGAGAAGAAAATGTAGCGCTCATACATTGGCGTGCGTGCTACGATCATGACAAAAGCATGCACGACTTCGTAGATTTGCAAGAATTTGTAACACATTATCAATTATAAGAGAACAAAATTAATCGGAAACACGCAACAGAAGCACAGACATGGGGAGGAGCTACATTCTGATTTGAAGACTTCACACATGCGCCCATGCGACGGAGGAGATCACAATATTTCGTCAAAGCTATTCTGAACATTGGTATATTAGTGTTCGGAAATCCATACTCTAAAGAAAAGTGAACATAATGAGATCATTCATTCCTTCAAAATGTCTTCCATTTACAGTCCTCTTCATTGCAGATTGTCATGACAGTCGCGTTACAGCCGCGTCACGCGCAGCGCGGCTCACCCACCCCACCGGTCTGCAATGGAGAGGACTGTAATCAAGTGAAGCGAATTTTGAAATGAATTTTGAAGTTCTTCAAGAACCCACGAGAAACCCGCTATTATTCGGAAGTCTGCGGTGAGGAAGAGAACTTCCTGTGCTGATATAGTAGCACCTCAACGCTTCGAACGAAATAGTTTCCCTTACAGTTTCCTGCCAATAATCCCTTTCAAAATCTGGGTGGTCACATTAACCTTATAGTGTCGGCTGAAAAACACCGTACACTAAAAACACCGAATATAGATTTTACAGATGGGTACTATCAGCGATCTGATCAGACATTGGTACGGAATCTGGCATGAATCTATGGTAGTACATCAGGTAATGGTTGGCGTGGAATCAGCAATATAATGGGCATTAGCGCCGTGTTCTTGTCAAAGCACAGGCATACACACTCTGCTCAGAACTGGGGTGGCATCTCAGAGCCCCGTGACGTTCTAGATTGGGTGCTGGTATACACATGCCTATTTAGAACTGTCCCCACCTTGTGGACGCACTGTGCCCGTCGTACAAAACAACGGCATATGCCACGTTGGACAATAACTCCAAATCCACTTAGTTCCAGTTTTCTAAAATAAGAACATGCTCATAACTGCAGTTTGTTCAATGTAGCATGGATCACGATGAGACCCTCAATAAGCATGCATGTGTTCACTGAGACATAGCACTATTCGGATAGAAACTGTGACATCTATAAGCGGTGAAGGAATGATATTATTCGATGAGCAGCAGATCTATAGACATCGTTTGCGGAACCATAAACAAATGACTTTGAACTGCATATCAGACTAGCAGAAGAAGACATTGCGTACGCAGGCAACGCTGCTCATGATAATGATCATAAATGTATTATATGTACCATTGAAAATGATCGATATGACATATGTATGTACCTTGATCAGAATCAAGCAAAACCCGTGCAGGGCTACAATGATCCTTATTGTGTTGCTATTTCTGCGGAATGAGTACAAAGAACAAATATTATAACACGCACAGTTGCAGGAATAACATTACTACTCGTTGCTCACTTCAGAGGTATATGACTGCTTTCGATTAGGCGGTAAGGAATAACTTCTGTTGTCATCCATTGCTAACGCGGACATACGGTTGTTAATATCTGCGTCGTAGCCATTCTGAAAAAACTTCTAGAAGTTGGATTCTTAAAAGTAATCGTAATAGTTGTGCATTTTTTGAAGTCCAAGCCACTGCAGTTGATGCGCTGGTATGATTCGGTGTTGTTTTGAGGTAATATATGAGGCGAGAAAAAAAATCTGATTACACTCGCACCATATTCGAAGAAAAACAGATCACCTACTACGGTGACCTGAAGTAACAACACTAGGGTGATAAGGTGAATTCAGTGAAGTGAAAATCTGCTCATGAATGTACTCAGCTTGCTTTGTGAGTACGACAACATTAGCCGACTACACAGTGGGCAGTACCATTGCAGGCGAAGAACTTCTACTATTATCATTATGCCTGCCATAATAATATGGCTGCCTAATTGTAGACACTAGGACACTATAGAAGGAGGAATCCGCGATAGGTGAGATAAGGAAGTATGGAATAGAGGGCCAGCGTGGGAAAGGAAGAGAAGATACTTTGCTGAAGGCATTGGAGGCTCTTCAGCCTGAAGGCATCTGTCGACATTATCACCAGGAAGTGGTAATGTCTTCGTGAATGGACAACGCGTTCAGTTTTTTTCATGGAACGATAAGACAGAGTGCTGCTTGCCCTAAGAACATGTGCCACTTAGAATGGGTAATCCACGTTTCAAAAAAAAGTGTTCGCTTCACAAAGATGCTATCTCACAGTCTTCGAAATACAAAAATACCGCTCTGATACTATAAATATAAAATGGTGCAAAGATTCCAGAAAGGGAGACCCGTTCCGTCGGAAAGAGAGACTCATTTCCCCTTTGTCAAGAAAATTCTTCATCCTCTGATTGGTAACAATATCGGCGCCAATAGAAATTGACTGAACCACAACACGCGTAAAAGTGAACATGAGCCTATTCCAGTCAAAAATCGTATCATTCGAAGCGTGTTCCAAAAGCAATATCAGTATCAAAGGTCCCTTCCCCCCAAGGACTTATCGTTCCCGCCAGTGAAGGTGACATCAAATCAACCGCTCTACCTTATTTTCCCATAATTTTTGAAACTGTATCAGATAAGCTTGTTACATCGCTTCTCGGCAGCAGTTTGTGCACGTGTTCCCCGCAGTTCCTAATTCATCGGTTCACACATGAACAATTTTGAATTAAGCAGTGGAAGCTCATTCAGCGAGCTCTGTGAACTAGTGTAACATTCCAAGCAAGGGCTTGAGGAACATTCTGAGTCGAATTTCAAGACCTGCTTCACATTCAAAAGACTCCGAATACTGGCGGTATGTATACTGTCAGAGCAAGGTCGCGGGAACACTTTCTAAAGGAGCGCGTAAAAATAGTCTTCCTACACAAGACTATTCCACTGGAAGCTAACAAGTCTCCTCAACTCTTTAGTTATGTGTAAAAGTAAAAGGGTGGACTCAGGAATAAATCACAATCAAATCAATCAAACAATGTTCTTGCAGTAGAACTTCAATTCTTACTTTGATTTTCTTCATCACATCTCTCAGCAAATATCTCCACAGGATAATCGCACTGTCGATATCCTTGTCTGGATATTTACGGCAGTTCGTTAGCATTTTACGAAAAATACAAATCGAACATTCTAAGAACGTTGACCAGTAATACGTTCTGGAAAGCAGAAAAACTTGTCTCACTTTCCTACAACGAAACTCCCTGATACTGACCGAAATTTGCCGTTCACTTCAAGTTTCCCATGCCGTCGTCCAAGGTTGTCAAGGATTGGATCCAGTGCTGGCAAATTATCCAACGTCATAACTGCTCCCTCGATGACCTTAAATTGTTCGATATTTCAATTCGTTTTTATTGGTTGAATTTAATCACACTTAACACGTTTCATTTGAACAATATTATTGCCTTTGACAATGCAAACACACGTTACGAAAGCGATGTTACGTAATAGTTTAATCTATTTTGATGGGTTGTCCTTCGCGAAGAAATTAGAACTTTTTGTGGGGAATAATATAAGGGACGTGCTGATGTTCAGGTATTTCCGGCCTGGTTTGCACAAACGTCCCTTCTTACAAATTGAAAAAGGGGACGTCCCGGTAATGAAGATCCACGTCACAGGTGATTGATTTGCATTAAAAATAGCACTGGTATACGCCCGGAGAAGGAGAGAGACAAAAAGAAATATGCAGCATCTGAGGCGCATCAAGGTTCACCTGGCGCACGCTGACAAGGAAAGGATGGTTGGTCGAAGTGGCCATTTCAGACAAGGTGCATACACACTGATGCGTCTTCGGACGCTGATTTCAAATCTGCTTTCCATATCTGCTAAACGATTCTCTGAGAAGAGATATGCAGGAGGTTGTTGTACGGAGCACAATTGAGCTTGGTAACACAAATGAGACGTGAGTCGTCACACAAGGTGCATCGGGTACACCTAGTGGGATAGTGTGCAGCGCTTCACGTCGTGCTGAGCGTTGAGAGATTCGAATCCCTGCATGACTCCCCGTCTCGCATTTCTCAAAAAAATTTCAAATTTTCAAATTCAAAAAAATTCTCAAATTTTTCCAAAAAAAAATTTTATTTCTAATGTGATAGAGCCATTCTCACTCCTAGTGGGAACTCCTGATTGTTGGTTTCGGCGGCATTATTCGTTCCGTCGTGTTGTGAGGCCAAACTGATTCCAGATGGCATGGAAGCCAAAAGTGGATGTCGTGGTTGTTATCAGGACCGTCAGTAACCAACAAGGACTAAGATTTAGCGTTTTAACTTCGGCGATAGTGCCAGCAACTTTAGAGAATTGGCTGCCTATGGTTGCCCACTTGTATTTTGCCAAGGACGTTGCAGGTTCCTGCACACCCTGCCCCTCCAGAATGCGTACAAGACGTTTTCACGAAATATGACTGCAGTGTTGATTTCCAGGGCACTGAAGCACCTCTAGTTTCAGATTCCAGCCAATTTGGGCAATTTGGAGCACCTCATATACATGCTGGAAATGGGTGTGACCTGGTCAAAAATCCTGCATAACTTTGTCCAGGAAGTCGTTTAGCAGATATGGAGGGCAGATTTGTAATCAGCGTCCAAGGGCCCATCGGGCCAGTATGAACGTCATTCGAATAGCCACTTCGTACCAACCATGCTTTCCTTGCCTGAGACGTTCTTTGTAAGCAGACTCAAGGCTATCCGCCATTCTTTGATACGCCAGCATACACATACGCGAGAAAGTGCAAAGCGATAAGCGAAATCAAAAAGCTCCCACATTGCGTGCATAGGCTCAAAGCAGGTTATCACATCTGACTGGATGGGTGAAGACAACGTTTTTGCGGCTAATTGTGCGCATGTTTCCGCCATTTGCTACGCCGTAGACCTCAAACTTGCAGAAAAATGTAACATCCGCGCACCTTAAAACTGCGAGATAAAGGCGCCAAAACACGTCACATCCAATCCAGTCTCTTCGGGCCATTTTTGCCTGGAAGATAACAGCCTGCATGGAGAACTACGCGCTCTTGTTGTCTGCAGCGTCGTAAGACGATCCCATGTGCTCTTTGCGAGAACTGCTAGAGTGTTTACTTTTGCTGCCTGCGCTCATGCTCATAAGTCATTCTGCTTCTTCCAAGTACCTTTTTAGAGCGGCATGCAAGGTAGTTAGGTGGACATTTTGGCGCTGCCTCAATTCACCAAGCAAGAGGTTGCGTTGGTGCAAATGCTCATCAGCTTACCGTAATCCCACTTTTGGCTAGAAGTTTAGCAAGCTGCACGTATCTGAACCCAGTATCATTTCTGTTCTTTCTTCCGTCTTTTTCATTTTGAACTAATTCAAGTTAGCCAACTATTGGCATTGTGTGGCATGAGTCCTTCTTTCGTGTACATTTGAAAACGAAAACTGCAGGCAACACACATTTACCTGCACAAACCGCATTGCTTGGAACGCGAATTCACAACTTTTCTTGTCCGGTTTGGAGTTGACAAATTTCATCTTCGGAAACAATTTCCGCGCTTCTGGACACTGAAACATTTGATGTTGAGAAGAAGTTCTTCCCCGTAAGTTCTTATCTGTAACCGTCGCCCTATCCTATGCTTTCTTCCAGATATTTCGTCATTCATAGACGAGCACTAGCCTGACGTTGTTTAGCACAACAATTGAGATTGAATATGGCGCTTCCGATCCATCGACTTTAAGCCGTGACTTTGGCCATATTGCATCCCGCCTGCTTATTTTCGTATGAATGCAGTTAAAGGCGTAGTCCACTGCTGCAGGCTATGACTACGAGAATGACAATAATTGTTTTGTTCACTAAAAGAAACGCAAAGGATAAATTATGTAGCTCTCACGATCAGTTCCTTTTTAGGGCACACTCGTGCATTCTGATTTGTAGCTGCGCTTGTATGAGTTTTGGCGCACACAACGATTTGCGAGGTCGACCAAAGTACGAGTCACTGTTTCCAATCTCCCATCGCCAAGTCAACTACCTCGATGGACTGGAAGGCTTGGTTCGCTCGAGAACAAGATGGTTCGGAATTTTTTTCAGAAGCCTGTGCGTATGCCTATACGAGCAAAAAGAACTTCTCGAAAGTGTTTAAGGCAGTCCCGCCCTTCCCGCATGTAATTTCTTGTGATTCATGAGAAGAATGCGATGAAGATGGATGCTTGCATGAAAGAGACAAAAAGGATAAAGAGTAAAGCTTTCGCTGTCGATCATTCCCTTTTTGGGATACTGCAAGCATCCTATTTCTATTCAGGATCATAGTGGCTTGATGAATGCGACATGGCCTAAACAGTGACTCGCAGATGGCGTCTGATGGGAAGAGCAGTATTTTATGATCTCAGACTGATCTGGTTCGAAATATCCGTCTTAGGAGGATAGAAAGGCTCGGTTCTCATGGGCATTAAGGAGATATCCCTCAGAAAGTCGGTCCCTCAAACCTAGCTTGCTTCCCTTGATGGCGCTGTCTTCTCCACCATGAGTAATTCTATTTGGTCCCTCTGCCCTCTGAGGAGCATTTCCTGCCAGGCTTTCCTTTGAGGAGCCATGACATTTTTTAAATGCGATCATTTTTCGGCGAAGGCCCTGGCTTATTTATTGCGGAACATTGAACAATAAAACATCTGCGGTTATGAACCCAGCGTCCTTACACTTTTTATGCTTGAGGATGATCCTTCAATTTTTCATAGGGATTTAGAAAAAGATGCTGATTCTGGTAGACGTGAGAGAGAAAGGGAAGGCCTGTGCGTCGCTGGACATCCCTTTTGACGCAGCGTTTCGCCATTTTTAGATATATGATCTGCATGTAGGTGGATGTGACACAGTGACAAATAGCGCTGACTACCTTTTTCAAGGGGCTTACAGAATGGATAGGCTCCTGCTCAAGACAAGCAACTTTTCCGTCGCTAAGTGTCTGATAAGTTCGTAACAGATCCGTTTGGGAAGGTCAATGCACATACTTGCAATCAATTGCATATCAAAGTGCAGGTCCAAAGAGGTTGCTGCTCTGAATGACGGCGGACTGTGTTTCGCTTCTCCAAAATATTGTTCATCTCTGAAAGCTTAGTGCGCTTTTTCTCATAATGTCCTCCCGTACATGGGGTAGAACTGGGTCGTACGTAGCGGTTGGTGTAAAGCCTCAAGTTGAAAGTGCAGGAAATTCAACCTATTCCTTTTCTTTCCTTTCGGGGAGTATTTGCATTTTTTTCAT